AAGCTTATCGCGGAAAAATTACTGGAAGTTGGCTGACGCACGGCGGTTTGCCGCAGATACACACCGTCGACACTGTGAAAATAGGGTGGCGGCTCTAGCTAGAGCTAGCTGCCAGTGTCAATATTAACAACCCCCTGTTGCACGTCTACCTTATCTATCTGCCTTATCCGCAGATAGCATGGCGACGAGACATCGGTCTTTACTTTTCCACATACCGATATGACGCTATCATATTTCGTTTAAAATGCGTAGATCCCCTTTCGAAATGCGTTTATACATCACCATTTTAATATCTCAACAATTTAAAATTTTGAGTTATTTCTCTTCTTATCTTTAATAATTATGCCAAATAATAGAAAACTGATTTTGAATTCTTTTTGACTTTTTTCTTTTTTGATTTCTACGTCCAATTTGATTGTTCATTTTTCAAAACTATATACATATGTAATATGAAGTATATTAACGTGTTTCTAGATTTAACTGTGGCAGTAAATATTTTTTTTTATTAATTTATTAATTTTTATAATCTTTTTATTAATATATTATAATCCATCGGTTGTTGAGTAGTAATATTGAAACTAGGTGGTTCTCCTTGTGAAATCGACTAGATATCGTCGTGTGTGGCGTCTTGACCGGCGCCGTGCGCACGTGCGTGCGTCACGCACACGCAGGCGTAACTGGAAAGTGACGCACGTGTCACGCGGTCGCGCAGGTACCCTACCTACACGCGATTCTCATGTCAAATCGTGTAACAACGATGTGCACTCCCATCCTCCGACATATAAACAAGTTTCGAAATACGTTTAGACAAAATAATTTTTGAACAATATCACGTTAGATATGTCCTTTTGTTTCTGCTGATAATCAAAGCAAAATAATTGAATCGATAAAATTATTGAAATTAAGATAAAAACTTATACATATCTGACAAATATATCTAAAAAACACGTATTATTCTTTAAATATCTTAGTCAACAGCCAAATCTCTCTCTTCAAAAAACAATTCTAATGTAAGAACTGTGATTCACCATCCAAATTTTTCGGACAAAAAACATACGAGCTTATCCATGAATTAAATAAGATAGAGAAAAATTTATAACAGCATCCCGAAAAATAATTTATCTTGCATATGATTAATTATCAAAATCGAGCAATTGAAGAATGTATCTCATCAAATTTTCTCTCTTTTTCTCTGTCAGTACACATTGATACAATAGTCAATGGATAAGATACGTCATTTTTCTAATTCCTGTCGTGAAGATACCAAGGAAAATAGAGATATTTTATTTCGATTAGTCATTTTGTACATGATTATCAGTCTCTGACGCGAATGACAAAAGGATGAGGAGCCGCATTGCAGAGACTTCCTGGATTTTAATATGTGAACGCCCTTGGCCAGCGGCTTCCACACAGCGATTTTTCTCGTGTGTGCCTGTGTATGAAGTCACGCCGCTGGCACTTTCCCTTTTCAAGATCGATTTTGGTACCGTGCGTCCGGACGGCGCAAGTCGACGACGTCAACGGTTCTTCAGGCAGGGCTGTATTTATACGCAACCGCCCAATTTGCTCCTCTTGTTTCACTTTTAAGAAATAGATAAGCGCAAGTTGCCGTTTCAGTTCTAATAATCTTGGGAGATTTTGCTCAAGAGCAAATTACATTTAAAATCCTTCTACATTTCATTGAAATCGCCACGAAGAAATCAATCTGCAGTGTCATCCGAGCGTACTGGTATATAATAGTATTGTGCGAAGATAAAGATTCTTTAATTCTTTTCGCGAAATGATTCGCATCGCGCTAGCAATCTCAAAATTTTGAGTCAAATCGCCCACGTTTTCTATCCAATCTTCATTTCTATCCTCCTTTCTCTTCAGCACCTCGATCACCATGCTCGCTCCATCGGCTCGTTAATCGGCAAAAAAAAACAGAAGGGCGACCAGAGAGTGGGGTGGACGGAAGAAAAAGAGTGCCCGAAAAAAGGTGTCTTAGGCTGGGACATCAAAAGCTCTTCCACGGGGGTGACCCGCCGCGATCCATCCCTGTCCGCAAAGGTTCTCTTTCTCTCTCCCTCTCTTTCTCTTTTTCTTTCTCTCGTTCTCCCTCTTTCCTCCCGACGCAATCTATCTCTTTCTCTCTCTGTTCCTCCTCCTCCCCCTTTCGTCTCCCTTGCCTCGCGAAAATCCGCCGCCTTTCGTTAAAGGTGACCCGACGAAATCGCCAACGAGTCACACGTGCGTGCAAAAGGGTTGAAGAGAGGGAGAGGGCGGTTGTAGGGAGAGAGGAGAGAGAGTCCGATGGGCGCGGGAACCACGAGGCAGACGGTGCACGCACTCTTCGCGCTATATCATGGATACCGCCGAAAATCCCCTAAAGGGAAGTACGCGAAACAAAGGCCACCCCCTTCCATCCCCGCATTGCTCGCCATCCGTCGTCTTCCTCTCTCTCCTTGCGTGTAGGAGTGCCCGCGCGTTTAGTGCATCCTTGTCTCTACCCACCCTCATCCTTTTTATTCCTCAATTTTGCGAATGCATGCTTAATTTGTCGTTGGTCGTTTTATGTATGCTTTCCTCAGTCGTAATATAGAATATAAGTCTAGTGTATATTCAAAAGATTTATCTCAGGAGGAGAAGGGGGGAAGAATTTAAATATGTTATTAAGAGAAACTTTCCTCAATTATAATTTTATTTGTGATTAATACGAAAATGATAAATTTTTTAAGTTTTAAAGATCTTTATGATTTCAAGAGGCAGGAAAAAGCATTTAGTTTTTTTCACTCATTTATATAATACATTTAATCATGAAAGATATGAATGAACTTTAATATTCCTACTTTTCTCACACTACTTTTCTTATCGCTGCATTGTTACATGACAAGGTTGCTTTTTCCTTTCAAGCGTTATTACGCGAATGGAAATCGACATTGCAACTCTATCGATCTTCAATTTGTCGATTAAATAAATTCATGATACTGCAGTTGCTGATGAATTCAACGTGAATTACAGTATTAATACGGAACGATCCTTCGTTACACGAAAGTGCATCGCGACTCGACAATGCATCTTGCGTGTATCGAGCACATTTCGCTTTTTCCATAAATTACTTTTACAATGCATAGATAGAGAAGTTTCTAATTTAGTTGATATATTTTAAGAAGGTAGCAAAATTATTAGAATTACAGCGTTTTTAATTATACAATTTATTTGTCAAAGCAGCTAAAAGTAAGACAAAAGTGTAGAAATATTTTAACAAAAAGAATTGAAAATATTTAGAAACGCGCTGTCTACATGTCGATCAAATCTTATGGAATTTTAATTTTAACCTGACGATATTTCCGAATGGCCGATTCGTTACCTAATTGGCCAGGAACATGTTCATAGCTAATCCAACAAGTCGCACGAGGTCGATCATATAACAGTCCTAGCTCACGAAAGTACGACGGAGTTTACCGTCGGACCCGTAGTAAGTCCTATAGGACCTTCACCGTGTCTTCTTCAAGGTTGCTCGAAAGCTCGCCGCGGTATCGTCGATGAGTGGGTCGGCCCGCTGAAAAATCGATACGTACGAAAGTGAGAGTCGCTCCCTCGGTCGTTCCACCCTCCTTTTTGTTCTTCACGCTCCGCGTACTCTTCTTACTTGCCGTTTGGTTCATTCATGTCGTCGTAGTGGCCGCGCCGATGCACCTAAACGCGCAAGCACTGTTTACGCTCGTGCAAGCCCGGACAAAGTACGCAAAGCCGGTCAAAATAAAATTTAAGGCGCATTAACGACGTGCGACTCGAAGCACATCTCGCATAGAAACATTTATTTTTCAATACATGTGTTCCAAGATCTTCAGAAGATTTTTATTATAATAATTGCCCTTTTTATCAATTTCTAATTATCAAACACAACGCATAATGTACTAGCGAATAGAAATCCTTAATGAAAGTGTGATGAATTAAAATCTTTTTAATTAAATATTAAGATATTCATGAATATAAAAAAATAAAGATTTTAAATGAAGGCTTTTAATTAAAACGTTACAACAAAAGTTTTACATTTAGCAAGCATTATATTTCAATAATTTTAACAAATTAAAATTTCCAATCGAATTTCAAATTTAACTTTTTCATCTTATCGAATATGTCGTATCTCCTTAATATTGAATTATAATATTATAATATCTATAATATCTATAATATCTATAATACATAGTAATATATATTATAATATAATATTAGAAATTATTCTACTATTCTAAAAACGGTAGCCAAAAAAGATTTTCGAAATAATAAAAAAACAAAAGTGTCCCTCCTTTTGTTTCTCTGTAAAAATGTAAAATCTACTAAAGCAAGCATTCTCTTTATTGATACATATTTGAATATTGAAGAAACAATATTCGATAGACCTCCAACAAGGATTTCTGGATTTCTGGATTTTTTTTCTTATCTGTTGTCTCTAATACTATAATATATTTGCATATAAAAATTAGTTTTATAGTAATAAAATAACTTGATAATTTATTTTGATAAATATGTACAATTTGACAGTAATGTTGTGTGACAACGCACGTCACAGTAATGTATCTCGTTAAGGCAACAACGTCACGATGTAATGTAAACAGTCGACGACTCCCCACTAGGTTACAGCTCGGCTTTCAAAGTTTATTAGAGATTTACCGTTGGAATCTTGCTTGCTGCCGTATAATTCTGTGAGAGTCTCGTTCGAGGCACTTACATGACCGCTCTCTTTCTTCGCTTACAATCTCTACTTAATCAAGACGAATTAGAATACGTAAAAGGGATGCATCTGATCATGTGGTATTGGAATATCTTTCACGTTCATTATACGGCTCCTATTAATATTAAAATTGTGTTGTTAGATATTAATTAAGAACATAAGTGCGCGTGTGTATGTGTGTGTGTTACGCTGATATAAAGTATCATTTATTAAGACTTTGTATCACTCCTACTTGCTCGCTGTCGAAATCGCCTAATCCCGAACATTATTTTCCTGTTTTCAGCAGCAGTGGGGTTGCTAAAGTCCTTGTGAGCAATCTACCGGCTCAAATACGAGTAGAAGACCTGGATCTGCTGTTCTCCAACTACGGCCAGGTTCAGAACATCGAAAAAGTGCCGTCGCGGGATCCGAACACACAAAGCGTGCTCATTAGCTATGAGACGCAAGAGCAAGTACAGCAGTACGTAATCGGAAATTCGTCATGACGTAGAGATCGCTATCTCGTTTTTGCTCACTTCCTGTTCGCGAAGAATCACAAAAGTTCTTTCTCGTCGCATGTATATACATTCGTATTTGAAATTCACGTTAGGAATTCGTCGAATGCTAACGAATTGTTGCCAGCAAGGTTTACGCCGTCCGGGAGAGACATTCAATAATCTCGCTATTTGCAGGGCTGTGAACCAGTTAAATGGCTACGATTTCGACGGCAATCCGTTGAAAGTGGAGATGTCCTCGGCGGAGAGCCGACGCAGGGGCCGCAGCCAACGCAGCGGCGGCGTGGCCTTCTCCGGGCTGCCGGGTTCCGGTCGCCAGACCGATTTCCCGCTGCGTATCCTCGTCCAATCCGATATGGTTGGCGCCATAATCGGCCGACAGGGTTCCACCATACGGCAGATCACGCAGATGACGCGCGCCCGGGTCGACGTGCACCGCAAGGACAACGTTGGCTCCCTCGAGAAAGCCATTACCATCTACGGCAACCCCGAGAATTGCACCAACGCCTGCAAGAAGATCCTGGAAGTCATGCAGCAGGAGGCTAACAATACGAACAAGGGGTATGAATCGGCTTTGGCCTTTTTGAGTCCGAATTTTAAATGAAATTACCGTAAACAGTTGCGATATTAGTCGAGCAGATATAAATATAAAAATTAATAATTAGAATCTAAAAATAATTAGATTAAATATAAAATATATTTCAAGATTTTTTTGCAACTTCTGAGTAACGTGTGTTGTTAAATTCCGTTTCAGCTGACTTTTATACCGTAGACTAATTATCATTTCAAATATGTTGATTCGATTTCAACACACTGACTCTCATACAATACGCTAACGATTATTTCAAGTATATAAATACAATTTAATGTAACCGAATCGTTGCTTCAGTGTTAATTTAATCATAAAGATAATTACATTATTATATTACTTATCCACAGTGAGATTACCTTGAAGATCCTCGCGCACAACAATCTCATCGGTCGGATCATCGGTAAGGGCGGCAACACGATCAAGAGAATCATGCAGGACACCGATACAAAAATCACCGTCAGCAGTATCAACGACATCAATAGCTTCAATCTCGAACGCATCATCACGGTTAAAGGAACGATCGACAACATGAGCAAAGCCGAGTCCATGATCTCCAGCAAGCTCCGCCAGAGCTACGAAAACGATCTGCAAGCTATGGCTGTGAGTTTCATCGCAGATTACTTATATCTCTTTATACAATCAAACATATAATTTTTTTTAAAATTTCCTTGTAAATAAAAAAAATACATATAGAAAAAATATAAACGCAAAAGAAATTTTTAAAAAATCGAGTAGAAATATTCAAATTTATTCATGCGAATTTCAATGACTTACAAGTGACGCTATTACGCGAGGATTAAATTTTGGAGAATTCTATTAAAAATTTTAGACTGAATATTTATTATCAAAAATTAAAATAGCAAACGTCAAGTTAATCTAGATAGACTTAAACGTTGACCTCGTTGAGGTTTGGCGCAAGTGAAGTGCGTCGATCGCGTCGGAGGCGCCGTTGCGCAACGCGACGAGGCTTCTAATCGATATAATCATTGTCGCCAGCCCCAAAGCATGATGTTCCCCGGCTTGCACCCGATGGCCATGATGTCCACCGCCGGCATGGGCTATAGTTCTCGTGGACCCGGCCTCTACGGTTCGGGACCCGCCCCATATCCCTACCAGAGCAGCCTGCCTACTCAACAGGGCGTCCCCGCCAGCGATACCCAGGAGACGACTTTCCTCTACATTCCCAACAACAGCGTCGGCGCCATCATCGGCACCAAGGGCTCCCACATCCGTAACATAATCAGGTTCTCCGGCGCGAGCGTGAAGATTGCTCCCCTTGAGCAAGATAAGCCGGCTGAGCAACAGACTGAGAGGAAGGTCACCATTGTGGGCTCCCCGGAATCTCAGTGGAAGGTAAGTGCAATCGACCTCGTTAGTCCACGATCTCTCAATTAAGAGCAGAATTTATAATTTTTTATTTTATGATTTCTTCAGTTTCGCACGCGAATATTTAAATCGACAGCCCTCTCCGCTTTACATGTGTATTATATTTAAAATGAACACACCTTAAATACGTGAGCTATCAAATCATATCATGACTTTTTACTAATGATAATGCTAAAGTAGTGTGTCAAAAGTTTTAATATCCATGTAATGTCGATGCCACGTTGGCAGATAGGTATCGCGTCAGTCCACTATTCTAAAGATCGCGGGTTCGAATCCAATCGCTTACGGAAAAAAATTGTGTAATACCTTGAAGTCTAAAAATGTGTTGCGATTGCCCTGCTACATTTTGGGTGGATGTTGTCTTCTATGCATCAACTTGAATCAGCAGGAATATTAAAGAAAGGGCCCCGTACCGATCTCGTCGAAAAACAAACATGCGAGAATCGGCCCCGTTTGACCCTTCGACATTTTTTTTTTCTCTTTCATTGCCTTATATTAATTCACTTCTGGCAACTGAGGAATTCTCTTCGAGATAACCCTTGGATTTAATTTTTGTATAATTCTACATTATCAAAAATTATTATTTCAGGCCCAGTACTTGATCTTTGAAAAGATGCGAGAGGAGGGATACGTCGCCGGCACCGAAGACGTTAGACTGACCATTGAGATCCTCGTGCCCAGTACTCAGGTTGGCCGAATCATCGGCAAAGGTGGTCAAAATGTGAGGGAGTTACAGCGCGTAACCGGTAGCGTTATTAAATTGTCAGAACAACAAGCGACTCCTCCCTCAGCTGAGGAGGAAACAACTGTCCATATAATCGGTCCCTTCTTCTCCGTTCAGGTAAGAAAGCTGACTTTTTACACAACTTTTGAATAAGTAGGTGGATAGATTTTATTTATTATATACAAGATTGGTCTATTATAAGATATATAAATTATCTTATCAATGATAAAATACGATACTAATTTTCTCTTGAATTCATCGAAAGCAATAACACAAGCCACTGGTACACTTTTTATTTTCTTACAGTCGGCACAGAGAAGGATCCGCGCGATGGTACTGCAATCGGGCACGCCCGGTGGAACCGGCGGTGCTGGCTCACGCGCCGGTCGCGGTAGCAGCCAGGAGGGTGCCTCCCGTTCTAAAAGAGATGGCAGCGCCACTTCTCAGGGCGGCACGACGTCGCAACCCAGCTCCCAACAGCAGTCTATCGGCTCGCCATCGAGCCAACAGCAGCAACAGCAGCAGCAGCAGCCGCAGCCGCCATCATCGCCTCAGTAACATTAACATCGATGACACCGACCTGACGCGGACCGACGCCACAAACGCCCATCCGCTTCATTCGCCGGAGTGGCCTCGTCGTCGCTTTGACATTCTCTCTCGTCGAGAGGCTGAGCTTATCGCGACCTCCTCCTCTCGCGGGGCGCGCGCGATTCTCCCTGACGGGGGAGAACTTCGAACGAGGGTGCGCGACGCGCAGATCGCGACGGGAAGACGCGCGGCAACGTTCTGAGAATTAACTCGACCGAGATCCAACAACAATGTTCGCGGACTCTTCCGACTCTGCGAGATAATTCTCGGTGGTAACAGTTCCCGTGCTCAGGTTCCGTGGGTCAGTTTTAGAAATGATTCACGAGTCCCAACTCGACGAATCATCGGGAATTCTAACGAGTGCTCGGCGAGTCCACAATTCGGAGAGTTAATTCTGAGAATTCGAATGAAGAATTCTAATTCCAAAGATTCTAATTCCAAGGCTTGATTGTTGTATGAGTCAATCTGAAGAGTCAACGAGGCCCCGGGCCCTCCGCTCGATTCGACACGAGCGCTTTTAATTCGCGGTCGATGTTAATCACATACGAATGATTAATTTGTCTTAAAGTGTCCTTGTCGACAATTAGGACATATTGCGAGTGGATCAGTCGCATTCGGTATTCGGTTGAAACGATTGCGATTCCGAGTCGCAAAGCTCTCGCGGCACTGCTAAGAGAAGTAATGACGAAGATGCGATCGATCGGAGGAGCACCGAGCGTATATTATACGAATCTGGCTTTATCCAGGCAGACACTGCCCATACGCGATCGCTGACTCTCACGAACTCCCGTCCTCGTTGACGAGGACCGTGGCGTTTTCCCCTTCGCTCTACGCGTCGCGCCTGCGTCCCGCGCGCACACCCCCCGCGATAGCGACGAAGCGACAACACACAGCCGCGCACGACCCAATTTCGCAGCGCTAACGAAACCACCGCCGCCGATGAAATAGGATACTTCGACGAGAAACAAACTGATTTAAAAAAAAAATAGAAAAAAAAAAGAAAAACACACACAACCTTATTACCTCATTGCATTACGGTTAAAGATTTAATACGATAAAGGAAAGTGTGAAACGCGCGGGAGAAGCGATAAACCGATTAATCTAAAAAAAAAAAAGAAGTCTATCTAATATTAAAGTTATTAATAATATACAGAGAAGTTAAGTGACAATTACATATTATGTTATATCTGTTACTACTACTGCAACTATTACTATTATTATACTACCTACTACCTACCTACTACTATTATCGCTGTATACTATTTACTTACTTCTTACTAGTACTACAGAAGGAAAGCGGATTTTCTTAAAAAAAAAAGAAAGCAACAAAAAACACAGATTAGATACAGTTCTTTTATACACACAATTCAGAGACGTTGAACGATAATATGAGACTTAACTAATACCGAGACCGTGTATCGCGGAACGGCAATCCGTTGCCGGTCGTAGACATAAGCCAGGATGCCTCAGGAGGAGAAGGGAATAGAAGCGACCCCCGCGCCCCAACCCGCCCCTCCTCGCACGTAATACCAAAGAAGCGACTATGAGTTATTTCGTATTAGTGAAGTGAAATGCGTCGTGTACGCTCTATTCGCCTCAAGTTCCTCATCAAGAGCCACGAAAGAAGGAAGAAGAGAAAGAAAGGGAGAGGGATTAGATACGAGAATGAGGGAGGGGAAATCGATGAGTAGTCATCAAGATGTCGAAAACAACGCCGACAAGACATCGAGTCGCTTGGCATGAATGATTGACGATGAAGAAGAAGAAAGAGAGAAAGAAGAGAATAAAAAAGGGAAGAAAGTAAAATAGGAGACGAAAGTCCGATCGTATAATACCACATCGGTATACGACACGGATGCCGTTTTGTGCCACGTTTTCAAAGAGTGTAACTAAAGGACGTTTTTCAAATACATGGAGAGAATGAAAAAGCGACTGTCGCGCGGTACGCAACGAAGAACAGCGAGTGAAAGGGAAAGAGAGAGCAAGATAGAGAAACACAAAAGGAAGCAAAAGAGAGACAGACGGCGAGCGAAGGAGGGGTCGTAAGGGACAAAAAAAAGTGAACAGACAAAACTTTTCAGGGATTTTTACTTTTACCATGAATGTAATAATGTGTGAGTGTGCGTGTGTTGAATAATTATTAATTGATAAGTAATTTGATTACTGATTAGAAGTTAAACGGCGAGGAAAGAGTAAGGGAGAGGGCTTAATGAGAGATAGGCAAGAGATAGAGGGTAGGAGAGGAAGAATAGAGGGACAAATGGGAGAGTGAGGTGTCGCGACGTTTAATCGCGACATTTACTCTCGCCGCGGATGGTGTGTCGCCGAGACGAGCGTCGAGACGGAGCCTCCGCGAGGCGTCCCCCGACGAGCCTGCGAACCCCGTAATTTTTGCAAATTATAGCTGTTAGAGGCGCGCAGGATCGGTCGGGCGCGGAGAACCGCGGAGCGCAACGATCTCGATCTCGCATCGATATCGCGACTTGCAACGCGTATAATCGGCCATTATTATCCCGTTGCGTAGAGCCAAGAGATTTCTTTTGAGATCGAGGATAATCCGAGGATAACGCGCATACGTTCGACGAGACGAAATGAAAGGAAGGAAAAGAAGAAAACGAGACGCGATTTCGCGTTAGACAAAATCGTTCTCCAACGGTGATGTCGCATCATTAAAAGCGATCTTGCTCTAGCTGGTATACTAGTGACCGAGTACGCGTCTCAGTCGCTGTGTCGAATTCTGAAGACATTCCGAAGTGATGCTTTTAGAGCGATATGGGGAAGAAAGAGAGAGAGAGAGACGAAGAGGAAAAAAGAGAAAGAGAGAGAGAGAGAGGTTTCAGACGATCGATCGCGCGGCAGGTAGATGAGGCGGAGGCAGCGAGACGCGATGAATCAAATCAGATTCGGAGTCGAGAAAACCGACCCTGCAGAGCGGTCGTTAAGCATGATCAAGGAAATTCAACCAATACAACGGACTAATCAATCATGGCGCACGGTCTCGCGCCGATTGGAGCTCGATCGTTCTCTGAGATTTGCACGAAAACGCCTCTTGAACGAACGCCAATTTCATTCTCTCTCATAACTACCTGAATTATTAAGTGATTACTTATCGAGTTCCAGCAAAAATGCGGGACTTACTTTTCACGATCGGCGATTATCGAGCTCATCGGCGCGCAACCGAGGCGGCACCGGTATCGGTACGTGGAACCCCATCGGGGCATTCACGTCTGGCGACCCGACGGACCCCATAGGTCCGTCAATTTACACTCTCGGCATTCGGTATGCGTTTAGTACAAAGATACACGAGGTTAAGGATAAATAAGATAATCAAGATTTAAAAGAGACATGAAACGAAAGATGAAAGAAGATGTAACATCGTGTGTGTTTAATCGATCTTTATTCTTTTTTTTTTTATTTCTTTCGGAAAAAGCGAAAAATTGAAGTGTGCGAATACTATTTCACAGGCGTTAATCGATAAGAACAAAACTCTTTGTAGCGGGAGACGAAGACGCGCATTAATTTGTCGCAACATCTTTGATTTTAATCACTGAATAATTACTAACCGAGATTGCATTTTTGTTTCTTCGAAGCGATAACATTCGTTTTTAAAGCCACAAAAATGTCGGCTAATTTTAATCATTATTTATACCTTTTTTTGTTTCTTCTAGACTTTGAATCTAGAAAAAGATGCGAACAATCAATCGATACGAGCTTCTAAATTAATCTAATTTCATCACTGATTACCTGTTCTATTATAGTTCGAGACTTCATCTTTATTGGCTGATAGTTTATAACCAGTTTTTTGTCTTTTTCTAAGTACAAAAAGGGTAAAAGTCAAATTAAAACTTCAAGATTTAAACTTAGTAATTAAAATAAAACCACGAAATAAAATTCATTCGCGCATACTCGAGAAATTAAATTTTCAATCTTTTCCAAAGAAAAAAAACAAACAATTGATTAAACACACGATATTATATCCTTTTTCAATTCTTTTTCTGTGTCTTTCTAAAATCTTGAAGTCTTAAGTCTAACTTTTAACCTCGCTCAACTTTAACTCACATTTATAAAAGTGGATATAGGAGCTCGATTCAATGTTTGCCTCTGTTTCTAGAGATCTAAAGTTTATATAGATGAAAAAAAATCTTATATAAATGGAGATTAAATATAATCAACATTTTTTTCAATGTAAGAACGAAATTTAACGACTCGAAAGCAAAGTGAGGATCAGGTAGATCACATATCTAACACCGAATGCACGACGAGAATACGAGTCTTCTTTTCCGCTGCATCACGTAAGGATGAAGCGCCGAACTAGCACACGAGTAAAGGAGAACAGAGAAAAGGATAAAAAATCGAAAATAGGATGAAAGAGGAAAACGAGTCTGAGAACGTAGATTTATTTTTGATACATTGTTGGGGAGACTCTAAGTGAATCTTTCTTTTTCAATTTTTTTTGTTAGATGTTTTTAATAACTTAATGAATTTTTACGATATTAAGGTGAGGAAATAAAGAGAGAGAAAGAATTTTTTTAATGTAAGATAAGAGAAGGAGAGAGAGAGGAGTGGCAAAAATGAAATGATTTTCGCGGGAAAACGGATAAATTAACGTTATAGAGAGAGAGAGAGAGAGAGGATTATACGAGTTAATCGGGGGGATGAGGCGCGCAGCTTTTTGCGCTGTGCTCGCTCGCTTTTAGGAGGGGGAAAAGATTACGACGTGAAGGAGATTTTTTAGTGGGATATAAATTTGTATATTATATTTAATAATATATTTCGAAGAAGCGGCGGCCGCGGGTCTGCTAGGCGAGGCCGTCGGCGAGACGGAGCCCGGTCCAGGAACCTCGCAGTTTTATGCGAGGGATCCCGTTCGCGTCGTACTACCGTAAAGGAGTACCCTCGCCCAGACCCGTGCCACGCAGTTATTTATCAAGCGTAAATATTTAAATGATGAAAGATGGAGAGAGGAGTAGTGAGAGAGAGGGAGAGATTTGTATTAAAGCTTGTAAAGAAGAAAGAAGTTGCGAAACGGAAGGAAGTGCCAAGGGACAAGAGAAACACGTTCGCACAGCATGCAAAAATTAGTACAACACAGCAATAGATTGCCGAATAGAACAGAATGCAATGGTAACAGAGGCAAAAAAAAATGCAGAGAACAATTACAGTGAAGCGCAGATAATGAGCAAAAAGGGAAGGATACAGAATGGGAGATAGCAAATACGGAATCAAGCCCTCGTTTATTCTCACGGTCGACGAATCATTTACGCTACTTCGAGACCAATGTCATATCACGCGTCATCTTTTTGATTTCCTTTTTTGGCCCGCACTTTCAAAATTTTCGAATCGATGAAAAGAGGAACAGTCCGGACACCTGAGAAAAGTAGAAGCACGACGCGAAGCGAGACACGCGAATCGCCCCTATCACAGAGACCCGTCGTCGCCGTGGAGAGGTCCGCGGAGTACGACATGCTCCACCAAAACCTCGTCGAGCCGGCCTTTGACGGGTACCATCGCCCACCCGCCCTCTTTTGGAATATCTCTTTCTAAATTGAGCGAACGAAGCTCCGGGAAAAAACGCGGCGTCCGATATTTCAATGAGAGGAACAGGATCCCTTTTTTTTTTNTTTTTTTTTTTTGTAACGTCTCATGTCGCCTTTCTGGCGCACAAAACAAATTTCGAATATTACTTCAAAATTATTCAAAAATTTAGGTAGATACATAGTACTTACGAAATTATAACTTTGCGAAAACGTTAATCGCTGCGTTCTTCCCGCGGACAGATCGATGTGCCCCCGCATACGGAAACTCACACACCTTTCGCTCGTTCATCGGGTCTTTCAGTTTGAATAATTTCGTTGCGATGAATTTAAAAAAAAAATTTAAGGTCAAAAATTTGGGAGAAAAGAATGAAAATAAAAAAAAAGATGGAAGTTGTACTTTTCACAAGAAGACAGCAAACCGAAGCAGCCTCTTTGATCAGGAAAAAAAACGGAAGAAGGGAACATTATTTGGCCGATTCTTCAAGCATTCAGAAAACGCTAAGATAAGAAAAGGAAGACAAAGAGGGAGAGAGAGAGAGAGAGAGACAACTTGCTCGCACGCTCGAGAGAAAAAAGAAAATGTACAAATCAAACAAAATAACAAACGATGATTGAATAGATGAAATTATTAATATAATAATAACTTAAAGAGAAGAAAGAAAATTTTTAACGTTATAAATTATTACGCGCACCCGCGAGGCGCGCGAAAAGTTAGAGGCGAGGAATATAACTTAATCTACTGGTAGAGATATCGACAAACAAATGTACAAAATCGATTTATTGCTAAATGTTAGTATTCTAGAGTATTTTACTGTCGCGTAAAAAAGTCAAGATTATACTAAGCTCGGCTAAGATTGTACTATTCCGGCAGATTAAGCTAAAAATAGGAGATTCGAGCGAAAAAAAGTAAAATTTAACGTCATTCCGCCGAAAAAGAAGATACAAATATCATCGTCATAAAAAAAATTACAATTAGAAGAATCAGTCAGTAAAAAAAAGTAAAAGAGAACACTTCAACTATCGTGCAAATCTCGAAAACTAATAAAGTACTCCATTTTTCTTTGTACGAACGCGCGTTCTAACATCGTCAGTGTGTCTCCAATGACTCTCGCACAACGCAGTTTTATCCGATCTTCCGTTACGTCCTGTCATTACAAAACGCAGTTTTGTATCGCTAACACCGATAGATAATCGACGCGTTTTCCACAGGGCATCGCCGAACATTCTTCAGCAAGTTGAACAGAACTCGCACAAACGCGTGACGATGAACGATAATTAACACGCGCATCGTATCACTTACGAGAGCGAAATCGCAAGAGGAAAAAAAAAGGTGCACAGACGGCAGAATCTCAGGCCAAACATGCCTGCGAGCGAGAAAAGGTATTTTAAAAAAAGTGAAGAAAATAAAGAGAGCGTCTAACGCGTAACAGCTACGCGATTCGCAATATAATATTGGACTTTCCACGAAGATACACTCAGACAAGAGAGAGACAGGAAGAAAAAAAAGAGTCAGGCGAACGAGACGCTCGAGCCAGGATGCTCTCGTTTTCATTGATCACTCGCAATCCAGGACCAGTCGTGAACGCAGCACAACTCTCTGCGGACGGCATCCAAATGCGTCCGATCTTCAACATCGCATGCCAACGCATACAACAGGAGTTCCTCGGGAGGAGAAGTAGGAGTTGGAGCCCTTCTCTTACCACCGCTGGCGAACCTCTGAGGAATGACGAAGCCAATTGAAACGGCATTTGATTCGATAAAAATTAATTAACGACCGAATCTCTCGCGAAGACCTTCGAAGAAAACGGTTGAAATTTCGATCGATATTCCTCGAGTTCGCAGAAATCGCCGTGGGAGGAACATCCTGGATACACAGTAGCGCATAGCACATCCGGAAATAGAAAGGGGAGAGAAATGACGTAGCAGCGTTTCTCTCGACCGACATTACTCCGCATTACTCTCTCACCGACATTACTCACCGACAAGATATATTGATATATAAAAAATATATATATTTACATATATAGGTACATGTATTCCGGCATGCAGAATCCGGACGATCGATCCCGCATCACCGCGATCGCGTTCGCGAGCAACGCTTAGAGAAAGACAACTCGCGTCCAGGGTCGCGCGACCGCGGCCCGTTTGGAACTCAAACAGATTGCAGGATACTTGTCTTTAATTAATAGTAGCAACTAATAAGTAATAATAGCGATAAGAAGTGATTTAAACCGATTTTTTTAATATTAAATACGCGTCACGCGCTTCTCGCTCGTAAACGGGACGAGAATCGTATTCGCGTCTAAGTTTGGGGGGTGATTGACAAAAGCAAAAGTAAAACAGAGATGGCAGATTGCAGCCAGGAGAGGTACATTATTTTGGGCTTTAGTATTAGGGTTTCGATAGAGATTTGGAGTAAGTGCGATTTGGGTGCAGGAAACGGTGATAAAGCCGCCGGAAAAATTTTTCAAGGGGAATACGGTCGCTGGATTTGCTCGTGAATTTCGCTCGAGGACGAAAACCGTTTCGTCACTAACGTGTTCTCGTTCCTCGACGGGTTAACGATTATTTTCCGAAAATACGCGAAGCGACCGCGACGTAACGATTGGCTTCGAAAGTTATCTGGATAAATTGCGAATTGATATATTTTACAATAATGATCGAATGTTCTCGGAAATTCAGCAATTATTGAAAATAATCGCAAAAATTGATCTGCATAAGTAATAAAATATTGAGGATCATAAAAAGAAGCTACGTGTCTTATCTTCTTTTCGACTTTTTATCCAGATACTTTGGGCGCGATCGGACGTTCGTTTGGAAAAATCAAATGGGGATGAACGGTACTTTCGGCGCAGGAAACAATTCTGGGACCGGGCACGTGGCGGCAATCGAAGGCCTTATTATACACACTTGGGCATTGTTATTACTGTGACAGGTTGATATCGCTAAACAGATAGTATATCAGATAAGCTCCTTGGGCGTGTTGCCGCGCCTCCAGATGATAGGGACAGTGAGAGAGGAGAGGTGAGAAGAATGGCGCTTATTAACGCTAAGAGAGTGAAGAAACGTGTGTGGAAGATGTAATGTTATTCGTAAGGTGATCGTAAGCGAAGCTAGAGAAGTAGAGTGTGACAGAGAGTAAAAATGGAGAAGTGATGACGACGGTGGGAGCCCGTTGAAGGGACTTCCGGTGTATTATCTATTATTATCCTATTGTTGCCAATAATGGGCATTATGATGGAGAGCCGCGCGGATATGTAACTTATTCTCTACACTGCATTTACCCTTCCCCCGATAATCCCCGAGAAATATACCTATGTATACATAGTTACGCAGCGCATATACACTATACATCTGTTGTACATAGATATATATTATATGTAAAGCTTAAACTTAATTAACGTGAGGCGGATGATTAGTCGACGTGCCAGATTATGTGCAACCCGTAAATAGCCGTTCGTCGAACGGGGCGAATGAAGCGAGTGAATGAGATGGAAAGGAAGCAAGAATTTGTGCGTATGTATGACGTGTGAATGTGTGAAAGAGAGTGAGAGAGAGAGAGAGAGAGAAATGGGAGAGCAGAAAAAATTGAGCGACAGTTTTGTACGCAGCTTTCCACACAGGTGTGCCTCGTCTCACTTTGCTACAGAATTTTGCGACTGATTATATACGCTAAGGAATGATCACATCCGCAAGAAAGCGATCGCACGGTAGGAAATCATCCGTTCCATTGAAATACCGTAACACACGTTTAACTCTGCGCGGTTTGCATACGACAATTTCCTTAAAAATTAAATATTTTACTTATAATTGTATTAAATATATTCTATTTTTGCTCCAATGTCATCAAAAAACTAAATATGCAATGATCGTTTTTCAAAATGTTTGTGGAAAAAACAGTAGAAACCACGGTTTTTCGTGAGAAAAATGGACGGACAAATTTCGCCGTGCGATTAGGTTTGATTCAAGGTACGATCTACCAATCGTACCTCAACGATAGTAATTATATCTCACATATAAGGCTGTTCACACACTGCCAACACTGAGATGAGGCGACCGATCGGACGCTGAAAACAATGTCGAGAGACGAGATTAATAATACTAAAACCCAAAATAGCCGTTTCCGGGAGAATGCGAGAAAGCTCCGCACACGGAGTGGGAAACATCCCGCATACAAAAGAAGGAAGCAAATTCTTTTTTTTCTTTCCTTTCACTCCGTGCTTGCGCGAGAGGAATGAATAAACAGGGAATTTACGTAATACCATCGCTACCTCATAAGTTTTACAAGAATTCTATGAAATTGAAAGAAACGAAAAGTGAAAAAATGCTGCCAGGCACAAAAAAAAGAGAAAAGAATAGTTGTTCGCGTTTTCCTTCCGTATTTTTAATCTTGGTTTTTTTCTTTATTTCTTATTTTTTTTGTCTTTGTTTATTCACTTGTTGCACCGAGCGAGAAAAAGAAGATAGAATCAGCTCCGGCAGAACGCTCGAGCGATCGGCGGAAGGACTCCTTCGGAACACGATTCGGGAACAGGTCTCTTGTTCTTCGCTCACGCGTTACGTTCCGTTGTTAATTTTCCTTTTTTTCTGCCATTCTAGTTTAACATTCGTGCGTGATGTGCTTGTTCATTCTTCCTACAGTTTGTGAAAACGTTGCTGTCGGTCCGCATACACGCGGATAACAGCTGTCAGCATTCGTAGATCACGCGCGTGCGATTTTCCCTGCTTGCGGCGATACCGATTTTTCGAAACGACGCACACACTCCCGAGAAGAAACCATGTTTTATACCGAACATAAAATAGCGTTATACTACCGCCGATAATCGCTCAGACGCCGCTTTTAGCCCGGCAGTGGTATCATTTGTCTTCAGGTGCTCTTTACGTTATAATCAATATATATATATATATATAAATATATATATATAGTAAGGCGACTTATATATTAGTGCATATCGATCATGTTCCGATTATTTTAAACAATAAATAGTAATGCAAAATATATGTATACACGTAATGCATCGATTTTCTTCCGATCATTTAACTCCGTCTGGCGTAAATGATGCGTGAACTGTGCCCGATCGGAGCACACGTCTTAAAATTGGAAAGATACAAAAATCATTTAGTTATAAGATATGCGGAAATGTTACTTGGTAATAAAATAACGAATAAACACGAGTTGTCCTGTAATCCAATAATAATATACAAACACGTTCGGAAGCTGACTCGATGATTTTCTTGAGGAAACCGTGCGGAAAATAGTCTCCGTGGGTCCCCTTTTTTCCCGCCGGGCCGATGATAATCCCGGGCTGTACCACTGCCGGGTTAACCGACCTACTTTTCAATATTATCCTCCGGCCACAATGACCACGTACAGCAAGTCAAAATGTTGTACATATGTACATGTGTACATAAAGTAACGCTGTGTATATACATTGCCGCGAGTCGAACGGATCCTGGCGAAATATCTACAGCTACGATCTCTCATTTCGTAATCCAATAACAGATGAGGATATCGATCGAAACGAGTCACGTCAGCGTTCGCACGGTGATTTAAACGGGACCAGTACTCATAAAACGAAATTGAACGCGCGTCGCGGAATTCTATCGCACCCTCTGAATTGAGAGATCAACTCTTCATGCTTGATTTACCACCTTTATGTACCAACCACGTCCGATTAGACTCGAATTCTATTGGATCGTCTTAAACGCCAATGCTTTTATCGGATAATTAATTTATATAATAATTTAATTTCGTAGTATATAACAATCATATAAATGATCTAAAATTAATTTCGCAAATCAGATGAAGTTTAAATTATCCCTCGGCGCAAACACCTTTAATTTTTCGAAATTATTTCTAGTTTTTACAAATTTTGCAAACACTCATCATGATCAAGAAAAATTACTCGACCAACCAAAGTAATAGATTTACGTAAAAATGCGACTGCCGTGATTATCAATGCGAGATTTTTCCCAGGACCTTTTTGACTTGCGGCATAATTCGCTTTATGATTTCTCGTTTGTGTCAACGGCGAGAATAAATTAGGTATAGAGAAAGCGAATCATGGAAAAATAACAGCAATAGAAGATACAACAGAACGCGTAACATGCAAGCAGCAATAGCACAGCGTACTGAAATAGAAAACAATAAAAGAATAAGATGTAAAAGAAAAGATGTCGATCCTTAAGAAGAAAAACGAAAATTCGGATCGCTTTAAGTATAAATTAAATTATAATTTTAGAAAGATAATTTGTTAATCCTTATCAAAGAATTGATGAAGAACTTGGTTTGAATTTTTAAGTATTACAATTAGTGGAAAAACGTCGAATAGAAACGTAACTAAAACTTTCGAAATAATCAAGACAGCGTCAATCTTCATCAAGGAAAAGATCAATTTGGACTTCTCAAATATTTTGTTCGGAAATGAAAACCGCATTGACTATACGAATTGAATTAACAATTTCAAGATAATCAAAGTGACAGAAAACGAAAGATGCAGCCAATATGAATTTTCGGACGTCTCAAATTCGGAAAATGAAATCTATCAGGGATTAGATTAAGAATTCTATAACATATAATCAAACTAAAAAAAAAAAGGAAATCGACAGATGCAAAACCGTGATCGTCACTTATACGCGAGGCGCTTCAATAGCGATCGCGCGAATTCACAAAAAAAAAACTGCCACGACGAGAAAGGATTGCTAAATTAATCGCAAGTAGGTTTTCAAGCGCTATAAAAGACAAAGGGCAGGACATAGCGAAAGAAACTGAAAGCAGAATAAACGAAAGAAAGAAGCAATTGCAAAAACGAAGGCGAAACGCCAGCAACGAGAACACAGCTTTCGCGCAGCAGAGCAAAAGACAAGGTAAAAGGCCACGGCATATTTGTATACCTGAAGAATTAGAAGAGGAGGAAGAAGAAGCAGCAACAGCAGCAGAAGAATCGGTCCGACCCAGCACGACGCTAGGGCGACCGAAAGGGCCAAATTTCATTAGCGCATTAGAAAGGAATTTCAAAGTAACATAACGAATCGACAGCGATATACTACATGGGCATCGACATGCTATGTCACAATACACACGCATACTATATAAATATATACATATATATATATACTTTTATATGTATCTCTATTATATAATATACGTATACATATTATTATTAATTATATATACGCACGCCGAGATAAGCGCAAAGGGAGAGGATAATCGAGGAGAGGAAGCACACACCCACACATAATGATGGTTGCATGCATAAACGAAGTAATAATAATAATTAATTAATCGATAATTATAGCGGACGCGGCGACGCCGCGCCGTCTCGCCGTTGCTATAGTAAGTAGGGGTGAAAAAAAAGAGAAATGCGAGGAACACTATCACAATAGCAAAAAGAACACTGTATTAGTTAAGAGGAATGAGTGTGAGAAAGAGAGAGAGTGGGGGGAAGAGAGATGACAGAGAAAGAGTGCAGGATTACAGTGACAGGACGATGCATCTCAAGGGAGATAACATAATACTAATCATAAGCGAAAGAAAGCAGAATAACACATTGAGGAAATCCACCCATTTTCTCAAATGGCATATCGATGCCTCGTGGTCAGAATGATTAGCGTCATTCTGCGTCTCGTAGACGCGAAACGCGAAGAGATATCCCGTTAAATCTTCCTCGTGGAAATGCAAAAACAAAACTACACTCTTGTTTGACTTTTCCGCTTTCGCTCGTTCTCGTCCCGAGGTGTCGATACGCATATATAGATATAAAGATTGTGCATTGCCGACGGGGACAACCTCCGCGCTTGCATTCGCTCCACACTCGCTACGTTAAGTTTAATGAGTCCTTTGGTTTTTTTTTTCTTTTTTTTTTTTAATTTCGGCGAGATCCTTTGACTCGGATCACCACAATCACCACGAGAGAAAGGGAATCGAACTTTACCGCGATTGAAACAATTTCGCCGTAATTAATTCATTTTTGTCTATTGTAGTTTACTTTAATCGCTACTATTTCTAGAGGGAAAAGTTTTATATAATTTGCTGCTACTTACTACTACTACCATTATTCCTATTACTACTAATGCTACTAGCCACTATATATTTTTGTGTGTTCGGCGATTTTTTTTCTTGATCTTTGCGAACGTCAAAAGAAACGCGAAACACGTTCCTCATTGTTCCTCCAAATTTATTTCGGCACTTCTTAATTTTCCTTAAAGCGTTTATTATGCTGAAGAATCAATAATTAACTAAAATAATTGCAATGGTTGTAATTTTTAATTGTTATGAAACTTGCAGCATAGTTGAATAATTTAGAACAACATAGTTGTTTTTGTTATTAATTCTTTTGCTTTAAGGTGATTTCTTAAAAAATATATCTGAGACACGTAAGGCATAAACATGTGAATAAAAGAGATAAAGAGAGAGAAATGGAGGAAACATTTCGACTTGGGAACGCGCGTTTCTTTCTTCAAAGATCATCCTTTTCGCGAGCTGTCCTTTCCGCATGAATTCGCAAAATTTTGTGCGTCGTCGCGTTACGGTTTCTTTTTTCGTTTGTTTTTTGGCATTTGTTCTGTTGACTTTTTTTCCTATTATACGTAAAATGTTTTCTTCATTAATTTTTTTTTAATCCACTCCACACCCAATTGCGCCATTCCGAATCGCTAAATTTACACAGATCACTTGTGAAAGCAGACGTACATCGACACACATACACGCGTATAAATGCAGCACGTGGCGCATAAAACTTTTCGATCGAGAGGAAAAAGAAAGCTACAGTGTTTTTAGTGGATAATGTTTACTACATACTACATATTCTATATGAATAATCCTTATTAAGTACACGAAAGCATAGGAAATAAAATGTTCGTAGGCATATAATAAGGCAGAAAAAGAAAGTAGCGGACGGCTTTCCTCCAGATGCGAAATTCAAGTTCCGTCTGTCGCCTCGCGACTATATTATTATCAAGATCGACCAAATAATTGCCAGTTAATTTCAAAGAAATCGCATATCCATCTTTCGGAACATGCATCTTTCCTGTTGTTCCATTCTTAAAAGAGGCAGATAAATCTTTGTAAGGATACGATCTTTTTGAAATTATTGGCGCAAGTGTAAAAACTTTATACACTTGAGACTTTTGGTCGAGGAAGAAAAAAAACCATTGTGTTTAGGAAATCCTTTTAAAAACTTAAGAAACGCGAATAAGCGAAAAATCGTTTTCAAAAAATTTAGATACCATTTCTGGAGGGAGAGCAACCGCTAAAATGATTTTTTTTGGAATCATAAATTTAGTAGGCGCATACAAGTGAGGAATTGCCACGTATCACTTTGATGAGCGAAGAGAAAGACGTTGAAAGCGAATCATACTGACAGACACAAAAACAAACATGCGTACGCAGGATAAGGGTGAAGTAGAATTCGTTACGTTTCACAGCCGCATTATTTTTCACGCGTGTAATATTTCTTCAGTACACGCGTGTTTCTTTCTCTGCGAAGATACATACGTGTTTCACGGTTAACACGTGCGTCTAGTCTGAAAGAAAGAAAGAAACAAATTGGAAGGGATAAAGAAAAATGCTATATTTTTAAACGTCTTTGTTAATATCCGAGGATTCGTTTTAATGATTCCAATAGATCTCTGCTTTCTTCCAGTTTGGACGTACAAAAATTTTTATGGCTAATCGTACGTGTCGCGCTGTACACGTGTTATAGAAAAGGAAACGATCGATTCTCTCCATCTGCAATAAATATTTAAGAGTTTATTAACGAACCAGATTTGCCATAAAAATTTATATTATATACATCGATATATGTATATATATGTGTGTATATACATATGCACATTACACATATATTATACATATATATATCTACACCATATATATTTTGCAGTTTTATCTTTTGCTTTAACGATACGTAACGAAGCAGAATGCGTGAGAGATTTAGAATACGTGTGAAATACAGCGAGAGTGTGTGAAAGAGAGAATGGGAGAAAGAAAGGGGAAAAAATGTAAAGAACGAGAGAAGGAGAGAAACGACGGGGAGTTATGGAAACCGAATGGCATTTAAACGTACCTATTACATGTTAATTAATTAACTACGATTAATATTTACAGTTTGCAAAGAGAACCAAGTCTTTCTACGCATCCTTTGTTTTTTTTATCACAATCAGATGTCACGCGATTTCTCTATACACACATTATATATCAAATCATGTATGTGCAATAGCTGTTACAATAGATCAATGGGGATTTTTGAAAGCACCGGCGTCGAGACGCCTGGCGTCGCGACGCGCCTACACGCAAACTACCTCGCAGATTCTGAAAGCTATAACCGTAAGCATAAATCATCTGGCATGATATAGCGCATAATTTGTCCACGAAATTATTTTAATGAAGATATAGGAGATGACTAATGTTTCAGCGATCGATACGCGATACAGAATTGATTGGAATCGATGCAATTAATTATAATTTCATAAAACATCACTTGCCTCTTCCAATTTCATGTGAATCTAAATTTTGTTTTTAATAATATTTTAAGAAAAAATAAAGAGAAAAAATTTTATTAAAAAATTGATAGAGTTATAATAAAGCCATACTGCTTTTTATTGCCCGATATGTAACATTGTGATCTCAAAGATGAGTTCTACATAATCTCTCTCGTTGGAAAAATCCTCTCTTAAAAAAAGGATTTTTTCCCTCTTAAGAAAGAAACGATCGTCGAAAAGTGAGTTACACATTGCAATCGATGCAGATAATATATCTTCGTTTATTGCATTGAAGCTTTTCAGAGAGAAAGAGAGAGACAAGAGAGCATCAATTGAAATCACGATATCGTTGAAAATTACAGCGGCTTTGTCCACAAACGGGTATCTTCGTCGGTAATCGATATGACTATTCGCGACAAATCCATTCGAGACGTCCTTTTCCCTCTGCAGGATGGGCGGGAAAAGCTGCGTGCACAGAGGAAGTCGGGCGAGGCAAGTCTGTAATAATTATCGATTCGCTGTAACGTTAATTATCTTTGAGGCGGAATGAAGCGAATTCTGCGTTTATCATCGCCGGTGGATTTAGCAAATTCGGATGCCGATGCAAAGCGCACCGGTGCGAAACGAGACGAACTGTCGTAGCAACGCGCGACGATTATACTAATAACACAGGCAAACCCCAACCCACGTCTCACCACCCCCTCATACAATAGAAAATAGTTGCGAGCGTAACGACGACGATAAACAATTACGAGATAATAGATTATTGCGTTTGCGTGCTCTGCCGAGAGTGATGGAGCACTCTCAGGAATACAATCCTTTTTTTCGAGCGTCTTTTTTGCGGGTGCTCCCCCTCGCGAATGTATATAGTATATAGGATCGCCAAAGTTGCGGATTTTTCTCGAAAAGTTTTAATATTCCTGATCGCGGAATATTTCTCTGCTCTTTCGTATCTAATTATCTCACAATATTCCATAAAAATACGATAGTTATCAGAAATAACAAATAGATATTATCGCGGAATTCCGGCGAATATTGTATCCCGAATAAAGAAAATCGCAGAAAGTAGAGGATATAAACATTCTTAATTAATATCAATTAATTATTAATTAATAAGGTGAGACATCACTGCCAAATTGTTTTGCACTTATTTTGGGAGTCGTATTCTCCAGAAATTCGTAGAAAAAAATTTTATAATGTCGATTTTTCGATAGTAACAAAAATTCTTTTTTTCTTTGGGAAAGCAGCGATATTGGAATATCTTTTTTTCTCTAGAGAGGAAAAAAGGATTACGATGAAATATTCTATTGCAGAGAATAGATAGATTATGAGCGTAATCATTATCATTGACATTGATTATTTACGATTGAGAATAATGGGAATCATCGAGAAATCCGTAACGACGATCGTCAGAGCCGACAATCTGTTATATTTCGCTGTTTGCTGATTCCGAGGAAGTTCCGAGTTTGCAGAGAAAATGCGTAGAAAACCGAGTCGCGTGGCAAAGAGACATGAGTGTTCCGTAAAAATCCGGAATGTGTTCGGATTTGCTCTCTCGGAACTCCCTTCGGGCTTTCGGCTCACGACGATTTGTTATTACGCCGAAATCTGTTAGTTTTTTGTCCTTACATATTAGTGTTGAAATGAAGGAAAATAATAGAAATGCCGTTGTGTTTGTCTCATTTTTTTCATCTTTTTAAAGAAAAGAAAAGAAGAACACGAGAAAAAGCCAAGGTATAGAAATTAAGGCGTCGACGATATTTATCGTCGCGCATTCAAGCGACAGAGAATCAGGAAGAGGAAAGATTCAGCGAACACAAATGTACGCGCGTCTTTTTCTTTTTGTAACGTTAACGCGCCTACGAACTTCGATCCTCAATCTTGTGAATATAAAATATCCGACATAGGTATTTTTCACTTGTCGAAATTGCGCAAACGAATCTTGAATTGCTAAGAGATAAGCTATATTTTAATGAGCAATAAATGCTTGATGTATTAATAATCGAAATAATCGTTTATTACCATTGATTAATGACTTCACTAGTTACCATTGATTTTATCATTAGAAGACATTAACACATTTCTCTTGTTATCTCGATTAATTTGATTAATAATGCAATTCAATTGGATCTCGAAGCGAGGATCGAAGCGAAGCGCGCGCGTAAGCGAGCATTGGCAAACGAGAACAATTCCTCACATAAATGAAAAAGGAAAAAAGAGAAAATTGCGATTATCGTAGAAAAAAATAGAGAGAAAGAGAGAGAGAGAGAGAGAGAGAGAGAGAGAGAGAGAATGAAAGTGTAATGGATGAACGAGAAAATAATAGGCACACGCAGATGAATCAGATTTAATTGCAAATCATTAACTGTGTAACTCTAATAAAAATCTATTTGAATGTAAACGCGTTAAAAAAATGCTATTAAGGAGAACAGTATATAAATATATAACACGTATATAATAAAGAGCGACTGGCGGGTCACGGAAGAAAGCAGGTAACTCACGAGTAGGTTTCGAAGAGAGATCTCTTCTTTCTCTTCTTTTTTTGTTTGTTTGTTTGTTTATTAAGTAATATCCGTTGATATGTTGAAATCGATAGAAAAGATTCGAACAAAACGGCCAAGCGAGATTCAAGGCAGAATAGAAATGAGGGAGAGATACATTTGAAGCTTCGAATACGATAACGTCGAGTATTTCTAAAGAATTTTAAACAAAGTGAAGACATTTTAATTTTCAAGTAAAAATAATTTCAAATTTTTTTAGGAATCTCAACACTAAAAGATTTTACAATAATCTAATGAATTTTATATGAAGCATTGAAGGTATTTAAAAAATTGTTTGAACGTACTTCCAGCTTAAATGTACTTCCCTCGAATTAGAAATCACGTGTGATCAAGATTTTTCTCCACGTCATCGCTCAGCTTGGTCGGATGTTTTCGTTTTCTTCCAGCTACCGCTATGTTATCAGTAATCTTTATTTTTTTTTCGAGAATGGTTACACACAAACGAAAATCGCAACGCGCGATTCGACAGACGGAGATACCGAGCTAACAAGATAATGCGAATGTGAACCTCGAAATCTTTCCGTCACGAAATGCTCCCATCGATAATTAGCGTCCATCCGAAAATCCTTCCATTCGTAAACGCATACACACGTGAATACAACACATGTATTACGACACACACGCGCGAATAGCTCCTTCATATGAAAACTTTCCGCAGAGTTTTCCATTTCTCCGCCTTTTTCCCTCTTGAACTCTGTTCCACTCTGTCTCCCTATCTCCTTTCTCTCAGTTTACACGCAAAAATAAAAAAGGACATTCACACACAGCTACATTTGCAGTCGAAACAACTTTTCCTACTCTGCTGAATAACCGGCCGATATCACATTTTCGGATAATATAGCGAGCAATTCTTTCTTTCGGGAATGCATTCACGAGGACAAGGAAGTAATGAGAAATCGATGTGTAATGAGTTTATGTGTAACGTTCAATTGAAGATTGTATGTAATTGTATATATATAAGTACAATGCAGTTCGTGAGTTAAGATACATTCTCCTTTTTCTACCATGAGAGAAAAATAAATTATTCTAGTTAATAAAAAAAATCACATGTGAGTGTGTGCCCTCATCACCCTTCCGTATTAATTACGCTAATGATTTCACAAGTGTATTTATTTTATCATTTTTTACAAGATTGTTTTTATTTGCGTAAAGAAGTTACTCAAGTAAGATTACTCAGTTAAAATACCAAATTTAAAATAAGTCGTGAAAAATTTTTTCCAGGCTCTCCCCTTAATTTCATAGAAAAATTACATTGTTCAAGCGCTTTTTAGATTTAAAACATCATTTTAAGGAAAAGAAAAGTGTACGCTTTTCTTTTCTAAAGGAATTTATTCCAGTTTAACTGTGAAGAACAATTTTTGAAAACAATATTCGTTAATTTCGCGATTAGATAATCTTCGGTCGTTCTAGCGCAAAAAATGCTATGCAGGGATAACATTAGCGTGATACTGGCAATGGCGATAATCGCTTCAAATATATCTGACTAGTGGCACGAGGAACATAATGAACGAGATCGTTAATCAATTACGCGTAATTAAGATAATTACTCGAATACGCGTTTGTGCCGCTTTAACATCGCATTACATCTAATATACGATGGGCTATAGATCATAATTTATATATCTAGGACAGGTATGTACATATATATGTCCACTTAAGGTGCATCAATATTACATTGCGCAAAGCCCATTTACGTTCTATATAATACCACATACAAACACGGAAAGAATTGATGCGATTGACAATAGCGCCATAATTCTATCCATCGCACGAATCGATATTCCGACCGGCGAAACTGTCGCTGCGTTACGAAATCTCGAACGCTTCCCAACTGCTGTATCTTTTTATCACCGTTTTGCGCATTTTATCGGCTTGTCCAACGCGGCGTACATATATCATAACTCGATAAGCCGGCAACAAGAATTATCTTCGTCGCTTATTGCTTATCTGTTTCATTTACAATTATTAGTCTATGATTTAGAATATCCTTGCTTGGACAATTGCTCTAAATCAGCTCTAATTGGCTGCTTTTCTGGATCATAATTTTAATTATAAAATAATACATAAAATAAGACTGTTTAGTCTTGACCAAAGTTATAATCTTAGAAGAGAGCAAGAAATCTACTGCTGGACTAGACTTCGATATCACGTACGATTTAAATGATTGATGTCAGTGACGTAGAATTATAGATGTAGGATTTTTTTTTTTATCTCTGTATTAATACAGAGATAATACATTAATACAGGCTATTCCAATAACTATACTTTCAATAATAATTACACCCCGTTACATTTACATTAATAATCTTCAGTATCTAAAACAATCAACTCCACTATGCGACATAAACGACATCGAAATCGATCACAATATTTTTGTATTGTTTGATACTCTGCAGCGTTAATTATTTTCAAGTAAAATAAATAATTTAAGGATCGATAGTAAATCGATTCATCATGTAAATGCGCATTTCTTGTATAAACAATCTTATGACGCGAAAGTGCATTTTATCTTAACATGATCATCCCTTGGTCTGAATTTCGGCATCGCCGATAAAAGGATGTCGGTAAAATACACACAACACGGATACCCCAAGAGCGAAGGGCGCATTCGTGCCAGCGGTTAAGTGGGTCTGAGGGCGCCGACCATATCGCCCAACAGTCGTTCCACACTGACTTCGCCGACCGTCGGCTTGAACAACAATTCGTGCAGGGTAGCACGGCAGAGTGCACGCGCCGGTGGTAAGAGCAGCAATAATCGACCCACCCGGCGCGCATCCCTCTCGCAGAACACCGCCACCGTCTGCTCTTGCAGCGCCGACACTCGTCCTGGCTCGCAGAGGTTTCGCGACTCTATGAACAATCGGGAAAATTCATCAGCTTTTTACCAGGCGAGCAGAAATTATATTAAAAACGAAAAAAAAGCAGTTAAACAAACTAGGCGATCGATGAAAATTATAAAATTCGAGAATATCGTTATAATACTAAATACGAAAATCAAATTGCAATATATATATATACACAGTTATAATTAGAGCTTTAGATGAATAAAGGAAGAAAAGAAAAAAAGAACGATAAAAAAAGAGATTAAAAGCTTTGCTCTAACTTGCTCTTACCCGCCTTGAAGAGAACTATGGCCTTCAAGCACGCGTACTCCGAATGATCCACCCTCAGCGTGGCACACTTTGCTAAGAGTTCTCTCAGCCTCCTCGCTTTGTCGAGGAGAACTTCCTTCCGTTCTAGCGGCAGATCCACGGGCACCAGGGTAGTCTCGTCTACGGGAAAGTTCCACTGCGCGGCTGTCAGCACGAACAATTCGCTCCACGATTCCTCCAGGAGGATAGTTTGATCTCTGTAAGGAAGCTTGCAAGAAAGGCCATCGGCATGATTAGCTATTTTAACTTAAGCGGGTACAAAAAACTATTTTGCGATCTTCTTAATTCAAAATCGCTTACCTGCAGAAAGGAATGTATACTCCTTGCCCATCGAACGGCGAAGAAAAGTAATTTTGCCGCGAACTCGTAGATATTTTCAGTCGGCAGGAGGGATAAGCCTTGCATGGTGTATTCCGATGAGACGGAAGTAATAACTGGCGGCGCCAAGCGAGTGCTTACTAGTTCTTCTACAAGATAGACAATCCATTTGAATTTTTTATTTTGTATGCACGACAAGAAGAAATTGATTTAATGTCCCGATGAGAGTCAAAACATTGTAAACAGTTACACAAATCAATGGCAAATTATTTATTATAACATCTAAATTATTTATCATAACTACCTTTTGATTCGATTCTAACATCGACAGTAGCCGCTTCCTCGGAGCTGGTAACTTCGTCCTCCTTGGCGGTAGTCATAGACAAGGATTCCGGAGACGGTCGGGGCAAGAAATGCGCTGCTAAGACAACATGCAATATTTTATCGTGGAAAAAATATAGACTCAATGATCCACTTATATTTATTGCTTACCGACGGACGGGGTGAATGTTGGTACCGTGGGTTTGAAGGGGAACAATGCGGGATATAGGAGGGGATGGTAGGTGCTGCTTGCAGGATGATAGACGTTAGGGATGCCCGTGTAAAGCCCCGAAGAAGTCCTCCTCGCCGCTGCAACGAGAGAAGATGTACTTCTCGGTGCTCTCTCGTGTTGTACAGCTAAAAAATGACGATGTCATTTTTGGAGTCTCGTTTAATCGACAAATTTCTATGCCATCATATCTTGATACAATTAGCTTGTATTAAATTATATTTTATTTAGTTGAAATTAATAGATAATAATTATAATTATCCGAATAATTAAAATAGATAACAGTTACAATTCCGCACAATTTATATTCGTTTTTGGCACGAGGGAGGAAGAGAGAGGCGCGAGGAGTGCAGTGGCCCTTTAATGGCACCTTCCGCCTCTCTCTCCTCGCTAATTGATATCTCAGCAATCAAGTGTTTGGATTATCGCTCGACGCATAAGGGGGCCGGAGGTGTTTACAAAAGCTGTGAACGCCAGGCTGCTTCTGACACCGCTCGCCACCGGATCCTGCCGTTCGGTAAGCAGAAGTATAGAGTTTCATGTGGATGTGTGAACGTGGGATGTGAGATGGCGAAGTGTGGACGCTTCGCTTTTTCCAGACCGTTTTCCCTTCCGCCGCGCCGGCCGAGGCGTCATCGTCCATTGTAATATCCAACTCGCACCACTTTGCGAATATATTCTATTCTATACGGAGCGCATCTAAAAGCTCTGCGTTGGAACGCATTGTTTGCGTATCAAGACAGAATATGGAGCTTATCCGGCATGTAAAGCGGAATAAAGCGATCGATATTTCTAATGTCTACACGAATAATATAATCTGTTATTTCATTCGCCTTGTCTTAATGAAGAGATTAAAGAATATTTTGTTTTTTTTTTTTATTTTTGATGGGAGAATTGCGATTCTCCTTCATCGGTTCTTTTTGCAACATCAAATTTGTCAAGTATCTTATTTAGCATATCCGAGATTAGCAGTACAGAAATTGTAATTTGCCCGAAGAAGACTTGTAAATTTCGCGAAAATAACACAAAAAAGATGTGATAATCTCGCGCTGCAATCGAACGCCGTTAAAACGCGGGAAAGGCTAATAACAATTTTTAATCTCTTACTTGTATGTATATATTGCTCCTTTCGGCTGAACGAAGTACTTCCGCATCTCGAATCTGAGCAAACTAGTTTTTTTTATTGTCAGGGATATCAGAAATTGTTCACACAGTTGTATAACTTTTTGGCACAACGCGAAACACTTCGATTTCCGTTAAAACTCGACCTGTCAAGTTCCAGGGAGTTCTGCGACTGTCAGAAAACAGAATATACATCTCTCGCTTAGCCGCACTTCTCTGGATATTTCCGTGCAAACATATCGAGTGCCGCTCTGCGGCCTTAGCAATCGGAAGATATCACAATGGTGATATTTCTTTTCTTTTCTTTAGGTATCGATGGACAAATATGCATTATTATCAGAAACGGATTTAAGCACAAGGATGCTCGAAATTAGAATAATATTAGAATCGCGATATTACAGAACAAGGATATATGATGAGTTAAATATATGTTGTAATACGCGAATGAGAAATCTCTGCAGTTACGCCGTAAATATATGAATGATCGGTAATTTCGGAACCTATTAATTATCGACAGAATAATAACGTACCGTCTCGTTTCATGTTGACCTGAAGACACTTTGTGAAACGGCAGGCTTGGCACTGGTTGCGCCGCGATACGTCCACGACGCAGCGTCCGTTCTCTTTGCACACATAATCCAAATTTCTGCGCACATGAAATTTCAAGGCTTTCTTTGCAAGCTGCGTAACTTAGAAATTTCCCGAGAGAGAAAGAAATGCAGAGCACGATTATATAATAGTAAAAATAAACGACAAAGCGAATTAACAAATCTATAAGGATAAAGGTGACTTTTTTAGAAATATTGCTTATAATTAGGCGAGAAGTCAATTACCTCGCGTACCTGCGGATAGACCGCTTGAAGAAACCCCGACATCCGTCGCAACTCGGCACGCCGTAATGCTTCCCAGAGGCCTTGTCCCCGCAGACTTTACATAGCGTTTCCCCACGTCCGTTCTCTTCCATTTTCGACGAACCTGTTTGCAATGAAAATCGACTTCATGGAAGCCATACATTTGACGCTTATTTCTAATGTACAAAGTGGCTTCGCTTATCCCACAAGAATCGCAGACAGCTCGATGTATATAGATTTAACTAGCTAAGCAAATTTAAGCTTGACAGAACGAAAACAGATTTGACTCTTTATAAAACAGCTTTATTTTTACATGATCAACAAGAAAGTAGAATATGGGATGTAATATTAACTTAACTAGTTAGAATAAACAATAATTTAGAAGTCTAAAGAATTTAGAAAAAAAAAAAAAATAAATTCATCAGCAACATGTATCTGAGAGGATCGAATTTCGAAGAAGATTGCTGAAATGCCGGAATCGAACGCCAGCGTCGAAGGGTCATATCACGCTAAAATGCCATGTCGAGGAACTTGAGGCACGATATTTTCCTTCGGCATGAGAGTGCCAGGGACTTTAAAGTGACGACGAGACGGTAATACGTTGCAGGCAATATCGCTATGAGTCACTGACGCAACTACGAGCGTCTCTGCATTATGCATGCGCTATACGACGAGAAATGCATACGCGAAGGAGACTCAGCGCTTCTCCTCATTATCCGTCGTGGGATTTCCTTGCGCGACTTCCTCGCTGTAAATACGCTGCTATAGCCGCACTTGAGGCTTCTTCAAGGGTGGAGGAGATACGCGCCACTTTGCATATTACGTGATGTAATGCGAGAATCGCTAAACATCGCTCGCGACATCGGTTGCTTTCCGACTTGCGGTCGCTTTAAGCTCGAGTAATATCGCGAAGAAGGACTGACGATTTCGCGCGATCGATCATGTCGCCGGCTGTTTCTTTGCCTTCTATTTTAACGAACCGTGCAATCTCTGTGCCGTGTAAAATTGACAATTTGAATTTAATAACCTAAGCGTGATCAAACGCAACATGTTGTTCAAGCGCACTTGAAATTTCTAATATTTCATTTCAAGCCAAGTGTATACGAATTTAACAAGTACAACGTTGGGTGATTTAAATATTAAAACTTATGGTTCAGGTGTCGACAAGATTTTTTTAGATATTAACGAGCGAGTTAAATGTACTTTTTATTAATTCGAATCTGATTCCAATTATATTTTGTATACCAATTAACAGGGCTGAGAAGTAACGCGTTATTTGTATATAACACAATATTTTTATATTTATTACATTTAATAATGATTATCAAATAGTATAAATTAAAAATCTAAATAAACTTATTTTAGTATTACAAAAAACGAATCGTTACTTTTAAAGTAACGATAACGGTAGCGCGTTATTTTTTTAAGATAACGTTTCCAACCCTGCCAATTATATACAGTCGTTAAAGAAGCGCAAAAAACCATAATGTGCAACGTAGCAACGCGACAAGATGAGATCCTTTTCTGGTTCATGCAATGGCTACCTTCGCGAACGCGACGTAATGGCCGGGACAAAATCGAGGAGAGAACGGAGTCGCTGGCGCGGTCACAAAGTCGAGGAGCCAGGAGGTCGCGTGTCTTCCGAGCGACCCATAGACGGCGGGCGACGGGCGGCGGACCCTCTTTCTCCCGTGACTTTACGTCCCCTCGCAGGCCCTCAGGGCTACCGCCTCTCGCCTGCCCTCCCACAATCACCCTCCGCCGCCCCGTCACGGACCCGATGGGCGCCCGGGCCACCTGGCCGTTTCTCAGGCTCAATAATGCAGCGCGCCCGACGTGGAGAGCATCGCCCAGGCGGTGGTAAACCACCATCGGCCCCTAGTCGGCCGCCGCCGGCTGGAGGAGTCCTGGCGGGATGATGCTACAATTTCACCGCACCCTCACGCCCGCGAGACCAGGACTATATGTAACCACCAGCTCTTTCACCCTTTCTCTCTCTCTCTCTTTTTTCCCTCTCTTTTTCTCGGGTCGAGTTGTAGGGCTGACTTCTTGATAGTCCGCCCTTCGCCGCGCCAAACAGAACCCTCTCACGCGAGCGCCTTAGCCTGTCATAACATTTTTATTGCCCGATGACCGCCGCGACAGCAACCTATGATGGTCAATCTGACTCTCTTTCAATTGGGGAAAATTTTGTTACAGATGGATGATTGAATTTTTTTAAATAGTTTCTGTGAGAAATAAAATTTTACAAAGAGTTATATATAAGCTATCATACTATAAGGATTAATTAATTCGACCTGATTTTATTCGCTATATTATATTTCTAGTATTATAATTTAAAATGGGACAAAATGTGTCGCTAACTCGGGGTTGGATAATTAAAACTAATGAGACAATAAGACAATCAGGATGCCGAAGGAGAGAAACGGAGAAACAAAGAGAGGTCGTCGGTTTCGTTTTTTTTTTTTTCGTCCACCCCCGTGATGTCGCCTCGGCATATTGTAGCCACGCACGGTGCGCCAGTGTGCAATTACACGGGGCGTATTATTTAACCCTGTTTGCACGAACGCGTGTCGCGTAGCTCGTGCACGCACGTAACATATGTCGCGTTGCGCAAAGAGTCGCAACGGGGGTGAATCGGACACAGTCAGATTTTCCGCCCTTTCTAAAAACGCACAGACCGCGCCGAACGTAACGAGGAAGAGAGAACTGCAAAGTCGCGAGAAAGACTAAAGAGAAAATACGCGGAGTACTTTTTGTTTGAATAATTTTGATACCATAGATAGAAGAAGTAGCAAAACAATAAATGTTAAATTAAAAATTTCACTAAAAGTTCTTTCAGGAAATAATACTAAATAAATAAATGTAGTTTCTTAGATGCGAAAAATTCAATAGAGATCTGATTCTTCTGCTTAATTTGAAACAAAAATTTTGTTTCAACAGAATTAGAAAAATACTTGAGGCAAACTATTGAAAAGTTGTGATGAAGAACGTACATGTCAACGGATGTTGCACCCAGGGAGACAGTTTAGCATATGCCCATCGATCATGCAAAGTTCGACAAGCGCGGCGCAGTTTGCGCTTGCAAGCACTCGTCTAATGTCGATCGGATGACTTTTCGATAGTTTTCGACGGCGCAATGCGCTGCAAGGTGTTGATGGCATGCAAATTTTTTTCCGCGTCACGTCACGTGCGTCCTTTCGCATAAAAAATGCTGATCGATCGCCGATTTATAGCGGAAATAGCCTCGTGTCATTTTTGGGAGCAGCTGTAAAACGATATTAACGAAACTGAGCTTCATCGCGTTGCGATTTAAATAATATGATAGATCTCTGAAATGAGAAAAAATAATCATTTAAAATAACAATTGAAGATAAATGAAATAAATTAATATCTTTTACATTTTTTTTTATTTCTAAGGTCTGCAGATGATAATTTAATAAAAAGTTTCTTGAATTTTTATTTTAACGATTTGTCATATTATTCTAATTTGAGGAGGGATTTTTTTTATCTAAAAGACATAGATGCACAAAAATACATAGTTTGTTATTGAAATAATGAAGTAATAACGAAGTTACCTCAAAGGGTTTAGTTTCTACATGAGATCTACATTTCGCAAACACGCACTCATGGCAATATCTTTCCTCTCTTTTCCATATCATTCTTTAATATACCGGAGCTATATTTAACATCGCGTGCAAGCAAGTATGAGCGAGTAAGAATTTTTGCTACTACTTTAACTCTTTCTCTGTTGTTAAAATAAAAAGTTCCCGCTATCGAGAAGTCAGAATTAACTGGTGTCGCTCCCCTTCGATTAACTTTCTAATTTGATTAGCTCCGATTACAAATGCACGCCACGTTATTCACGTATATAATCGGTTCACAAAGAGGGTTCATTGAGAAAAAAAGCACGTGGTGTCAGAAATCCTCCATTACGTCGCCGCTGTGATGCGTGTCGCGAGATTGCTGAGTAAGTCTCACCTGGATCTTTTTTTTTAACTCTCTGAAAGATTTTTAATTAGTTTCTGTATTTATTTCTCATCAAAGTGATGATATTCTTATTTCCATCCCTACGATTTATTTCCCGAATTAGAATCACAAGCCTAGATTTTAATCCAATTATTACGCATCCGCGTAATTGAAAAAAATTCTATAATTTTTAAGAAATTATATAATTAATAATTTTTTTATAATTAATAATTTTCCGTTTATATACGATGAGGTATATTGTCGAATATTACGGGTAAAGGCTTGAACTCACCGTTCAAGGTTTTATCTTTTTCGTACGCCCACTGTACAGCGATTAATTTTTGATGATCTGCTTCTACGTAAGCATGGTCGTTACGTCGAGTCACCTGACGTGACTTTGTTATACCTGAGGGTCCCAATACAATTAACGACTCGTGAATAATAATTGATCCTACAGAAAAATAGCATATGTCGCATAATAGATCGTAACAGGTAAACCTTCAGTGGAGATAATTCAGTGTAATTAGCCAGTATCGATGACTTGTAAGTCAACTGCAGTATAGGGATTACATGACCGTAATCATGTTGAAAACGAAGCCTGTGATTAAAAGTTTTCAGTAAAAGTACAATATCAGACCGTTCACATTTAGCAAAATACATTATTATATACGTTCATTATTTAGCAAAATTTAAAAACATTAATTAAATAAACAAAACCTATTCTATTTTTGTACAGGGAAATATCTATTGTAATACAATAAATAATTGCAAAAGTTTCGTTTTTTTTATCGTACTTAAAAAAGTTCCTTTATCATTATTTTTTATTATTTTTGCAATTACCGCATTAAATGTGTAGGAGAACGCATCGTTATCCGCCAATTGTTTACAACAATTAGCGTGCATCGACGAGTACGTCTCCTCGAATAATATCGTCCCGATTTATCCGATGTTTGGACAGTCGAGTACCGGAACCACGAGGGTTCCGGCGATTATCAAAGTTAATGACGGGAGCTGCGCTCCTTTTTTTTCATCCGATCCTAATTTACGATTAGCCGCGGCACGATCAGTTCCAGCCAGGCGCACGTGCACGCTTCGCACGGTTTGACAGTGATTGCGTGACACGCTCGACTACATACATTGCACA